AAACCCCAAAACCCCAAAACCCCAAAACCCCAAAACCCCAAAACCCCAAGTTCAACTAAATCTTTTGATAATAAAAATGGAGAAGAATTACGGAGATTATCAGAAAGATCTGGAAGCGAGTGATCGTAAGCAGATCGACTTCCCGATCTATGGATTAGTGAATCCAATAAAAACTTACAATTGCTTCCTTAACAGTGTAATGCAAGCCTTCTGGATGATAGATACCTTCAGACATTTCTTTTCATGGTACTCATCAATGAACTCAGCTAATGATAACCTGTTTATACAGGAGCTGAAGTGCTTCTTTAGGGAGATATTGAAAACTCCAAAGAATGAGTTCGATAACTCACTAAAGTCTTACTATCTTAAAGACCTCAGAGAACAGCTATCGATTCAGGGAGGAAAGCAAACTACCTTTTTAGTCGGTGAGATGTGAGATGCTACTGAGGCTTACCAGACAATTCTGACAAGAGTCTTTGAGAATCTTAAAAAGGCCCCTGGTGACACAGTCAACTCCTGAGGAAACATTCTACAAGAGATCATCGGGCTCGATGTTAAGAAGAAGTTTGTCTGCAAGTGTAAGAAAGAGATACCTATTCCGGATACAGATCAGAACATGACTCTTCTTTTTGCTGAAACTTTAGAACAACTCTGCGGTTATAAGCCAGATGAAGAACTAAGTATAACTATCGATTTAGCTAAAGAGCAGCATCAAAAATTGGGAGAATTCGCTAAGGTTATCTTAGACAGAGACCAGGTTAGAGCAAATGAGGAGCACCAAAAGAAATGTAAGCACTTTGAGGATGCAGATCTTATCATTACGACTGACAAAGAGCCAGAGATTATCTGTATTGACATAAAGTACGGTGGGGCTAATGCAATGCAAACATTTGCTGTGATGAATCTGATCCCAAATGCAATTAAGATTAGTGACATTTACGAGTTCACTGGTGAAGAAGATCCTTTCTATATTTTGAAAGGAGTCATAATTTACTGGGGAAGCCATTACTTTGCTTATTATAGAGTCTTTATTGATGGAGAAGAAGAGTGGCTCAGAGTTGATGATCAGATGATCACCAAGAAAGGGGATTGGGAAAATATTGTTACGGAATGTGTTGCAGGTCCTTGTACACCAACCCTTTTTCTATATGAGAAATATAAGGAAAGCGTCCTTGTTCCAGATCTAAAGGATATGGAGGTAAATTTCAAGCTTAAAGACTCAAAACTAGAAGAGTTGATAGTGACAGCTAGGCAGTCAAAGGTCGAAGGAGTTTACCAAGACTCCATCATGAAGCTGAAGAGAAAGGAGAGTGATAAGAACGAAGGAGAAGATTCTAAAATGGAAGAAGAAAAGAAAGGAGACGTAAATATGGCTGATGATGAACCTGATAAGAAAGGAAGGAATACTATTGACAAGCCTGGCGAAGGAGATGATGGAGCTGAACCAGAACCTGAGATATTGGTTCCTACTATTGGAGAGGATGAGTGGAATTGTGAAGAATGCAACACCATCAATAAAAACAACAAAGCTAGATGCAAAGGTTGACATGCAAAGAACGAAGTTATTCAGATGATGATTGATGCGGCAAGAGAAGAAAAGAGATGGGAAAGAACTTGTGGAAGATGAGACAACAAATACAATTATATGAACTTTGACAAATGCCCGAAATGAAAATCTAGTTTGAGAAGAGACCAAGTCCATTTCTAATTGAAAATCAATAATTTTTAGAATAAAAGGGGTTTTGGGGTTTTGGGGTTTTGGGGTTTTGGGG